CTCGTTCTTGTTGTGTTTGTTGTTCTTATCGCCTTCATTGTCGTTGTTGTCTTCATTGTTGTTCCTGTCTTCATTGTTGTTGTTGTCTTCATTGTTGTAGTTGTCTTCATTGTCGTTGTTGTCTTCATTGTTGTTGTTGTCTTCATTGTCGTTGTTGTCTTCATTGTCGTTGTTGTCTTCATTGTTGTTGCTGTTTCTGATGTTTCGGCTGTTGTTGCTGCTCCTGCAACTGCTTGGTACGTGAAATTTATCGTTCAAGTTTCTGATTTTGTCTTTGCAGACACTGTCTTTTCCTTCTAGGTGATTTTATAGTTTGAGTCACTGCATAACCGGATTGACTTGTTTTGTCTCCTCTTTGTCTCTTCCTGGGTATTTGTTCACAATGACCACTTGGCTACTTTGTCTTGTCTTGTCCGTGTCCTGTTTCCCAGAACAGAGAAAACTGCCTGAAGCTGCTTCGAGCCAAGCTCTTTGACATTGAATCATCAAAAAAGGAACAAGATGAACAGGAGCATCGCAAATCGATTGTGGGCAAGATGGACTTCAGTGAGAAAGTCAGGACCTTCCACTACTTTGGGGTAAGTAAAAAGGATTCCGGCCCCGTTTACTTGAACTGATTGCATCAAGCTGTTTACGGGTGTGCTCACACTGTGACCCGGCTAGTCATGAAATAAGAGTGTTCCTTGCCCGAAAAAAAACTCACTCAATTTTAACTTGAAATGCAGAAAATGCGGCTGTCAAGAAATTTCAAATTGCATCACCTCGCTTTGGCGTGTTTTAGACCTTGTGTGAACAAGATCATTATATTTCTACATGATGAGGTCACTTGAACGCTGTCTAAGGGCGCGTTCAGACTACCGATAAAAAGTGACGGAATGGAAAAGTTTCCAAGGTGATTTGATCACGTGGCGTTACTGGCACGTTACCGGCAGAAAGGTTTTACTCCTGCGGCGGTAAGGCTGTCATCACACCATGGTACAAAGCGCTGCGTCTACGTCCACGTAAGGAGTTTTTGGTCGGTTGTCATGATGATCCGTATACGGGGTGAAAACGGGAGCAGAGGAAACGGGAGACGTAGACGTGGTATGGAGAGGGGGGGTATACGACTTTTTGTATGAACGTGCGTATCTCCCCCAGCCTTTTTCCGAGCGACCCTGTACTTCCATGTACGCGGGCTCAAATCTCTCCAAAAACCTGACTGCGTGTACGCGTCAAGAACTGTGCTTGTCTGATGACACGACCATCCGTTTTGGTTTTTTCACCATAGACGTAGACGTAAATGGGAGTCGGAGAACGTGGTGTGATGACAGCCTAACTGCATTCTGGCAGTAAAAAAAGTGCTCAGGCTGGGAAAAAGGGAAAATCCCTTCTCAGCGCCGCGGTGAGAGCTGCAAAACTTATGTACCGGTGACGTTAGTTTATCGGTAGTGTGAATGTCCTTCACGGTTTATCGCCTTTCACGGTTTGACGGGATTCACGGTAGTCTGAACGCTGTCTAAAAGATCCTCAAGCTACGTATAGTGTTCCATGACCAGCAGACAGTGCCAGTAATACAATTCTCACTCAGCAATGACAAGCTAGTGTCTGATCAGGAGTGTGTTTTTCTTCAAACACAAAGCTCTGAGTAACGGCAAAGACGGACTTGGTTGTGTCATTGCTCGGTGTGAATTCTATTCAATTAGGAATATGCAGTGAACTTGGTGTCAACTCTACCGCAGCTGACTAGTTATTTACTCTGTCTTTTCTGATCACAGATGCAGGTTGTTGACCATCGCTTCGATCTCAAAACCACTGGACTGACAGCGGTGCTGAACAATGCTGCCGATACTGCTGCCTTCCTGGAGAAGGTGGCCACAGCTGCAAAGATCAGAGCTATCCGGAAAGCGCTGAGGGCATCGCCGCCGGACCACATCTTCGAGTTTAAGCCCAAGACACTCCATGCGGCCGAGTCCCCGTGAGTGTGTTCCGGGCCGGAGTCAGCAAATACCCTGAAACCTGTGCACTGTGCATGGTATAAACGTATGTGCTGTGACGGATTGACCAACATGCACATGGGCGCACTCTGCAAGTCTTTTGTTCCTCGCCCGAACAGAAAACCGCTGGCGTAAGCTCTCAGCTGGGTTTTTTCCGCCATGCTATTCACGTTACAGTGTGGATGGTATAGCAGGCCGCATATCCAGTAGTGTTGCTGTTATAGGTGTCCACCCCTATCATAAGACTCACCACTACAGCTCAGTGGTACAGTACACTGCGAGAGGCATCGGGCAGCTTGCGTCCTATTGGCACACTGAACCCGACATGCAATTGCCAATGAATGCGCTCCGCACTGTACTGCATATCGGGTTTCACACACAACCTGTGATCTCTTGGTGCAAATTTGATATCACTTCGAGGCGACTGACCTGCTTGTACGAGCTGCAACGCACCGCACGCAGCAGTCCATAGCTCGTAACAGAAACTACACTCTGGCCTCTGGATGAGAAGCGGGACTTCCCCCCCCCCCCCCCCCCCCCCCGGCTTGGCCATACTCTAGTATTTAGTACAGGTTCATTAGCTATCATGAATGCATTCTTTTCAAGCTGGACATAATATATCGTACTGTATTCAGTCGAGGCACCTATTTATTCCAGTTCATAAGTATTATAACTATGAGATACTCTATAGTCTAGACGACTATGGACAAAGCGGTATTGCCATCGCACTGTTGAGTATGCTCAATACTGTGTGTATCAAAAGTATATACTTCTGGACTTCTCATTTTCACCACCCGAACAGTCCGTGTACGCTCTCTCTCTCTCTCTCTCTCTCTCTCTCTCTCTCTCTCTCTCTCTCTCTCTCTCTCTCTCTCTCTCTCTCTTCTCTCTCTCTCTCTCTCTTCTCTCTCTCTCTCTCTCTCTCTCTCTCTCTCTCTCTCTCTCTCTCTCTCTCTCTCTCTCACACACACTGTCTAAGAGTTGGTGGACAAGCCGTTGATTATTCACTCTCATTGTAATATCAAAAAGTATTCTTTCTAGACCAAAGAGTGGTATATTTGATAACATTTAATAACGATAGAAATTTTTACGATACTTCTCCAGACGTTTCGTTGTTCTGAACAACATCGTCAGTGGATAAAGAATGGAGGGCTTTGGGTGGTGGCACGGGTTAATAGGGAGTGATGGTGGTGAGATGAGGTGAGGTGAGAAGGTGAAGGTGGGAAATACATGTATCTAAGTTAATGGTGAAGGTTAGGTGCGGGTCGATACAGGTGGGAAGGGGTACACCCTTCGGGTAGAAGTGTAGGTTGGTAGAAGGTGTTGGTGTGCGTAGAAGGTGGAGTGGCGTAACGGAAGTGTCGGGTTGATAAATGTGGGAGAGAGTCTAGGTAGGGTGTGGATCAGCAATAGGTGTTGGTGTATGTGGTGGGTAGAATTGGCAAGAGGTGTGTGTGTGTGTGTGTGTGTGTGTGTGTGTGTGTGTGTGTGTGTGTGTGTGTGTGTGTGTGTGTGTGTGTGCGTGCGAAAAAGAGTAAGGTAGTGAGTATTGGTATGCGTGGAAGGAAGATGTGACAGAAGGTGTGCGCTATAGGCAAGGGGTGCAGGAATATTCTGAGGTGGTGGGTGGGACTAAAACAGGAGGTTGTGATTCATCTAGTGATATATATAATATCAGCGATAGCAGCAGTATATACAAAGAGGTGTGTGTGTGTGTATGCGTGTGCGTTTGCAAGCTTTTTGGTAGTGTAGTGTGTTGGGGGGGGGGGGAGAGAGAGCACCGGGTGCGGGTGTTCTGCTTCTATTGCGATCATTTTCGGATGGGTTGGCAGATAGTGGATGGTGGTAGGCAAGTTATGCCAAGAATCCAGTTCCCATATCTTCTTTTCTTCTGTTGATAGTTGGTTTCTTGTCGCGAATGGCATATGCCTCACGGATCCGGAGCCTCAGCTCATCCCTCTCCGTGAGCTGAGCAATCTCGTACATAATCTCTGGGGTGGCGTTCGGGTGTTCCCTGGCGTAGTGCACACCGAATGCAGACTTCTTGTCATGAGATTTTGCAGCATTTGTGTGCTCTTGGGCCCGGGTGTGCACTTGCCTCCCAGTCGAGCCGACGTATCTCTCGTGACAAAGGTGGCATGTAGCTTCGTACACGGCAAATCTGCAGGTGCACTTCTTCCTGAACATAGGGCATTCGCGCATTCTGCATTTTTCCGGTTCTCCTTTTTTCTTCGTGAGTTCTTGGATGGTTGGGGGTCGAGGGTTAACGAGGCGTGCCGTTATGCCGTTTTTCTCAAGTGCCTGTCGTACTTGGCCGTTAACCTTGTCGGAGATGTACGGTATTCTAAATACCAGTTGTTTCCCTTTTGTTTGTTTACTTGTGTTTCTTCTTCGGGCTCGCGCTTTGATGATGTGTTCTGCAGAATAGCCGTTCCCTGCAAGTTTATCTGAGATGAGGCGTCTGGCTTCCTCCGCAAACTCAGGCGTGCTGTTGTCTTGTGCTCGTTTGTATTCATTGTTAATGACCGCCATCTTAACCGCCGTTGGATGGTGGGAATCTGCGTGTAGTGTTATCCCTTTGTTTGCTTCTTTTACGTAGAGCTTGTGTGTGACTTTGCCGTCAGGAAGAATCTTTAGTCTGATATCCAGGATTGGTAGGAAACCATCTTTGTCCGGCAACTCCAGTTCAAACTTGATTGTCGGGTGTTTTCCGTTGAGTTTGGTCAGTAGAGATTGTGCTTCCGCAGGAGTGTCAACTGCGGTTCCCGAGTCGTCTACATAGCGAACGAACACTGGCAATGGCGGCGAGATGTTTCTGTAAATGTGTCGCTGTTCAAAGCGGTCCATGACGATGATAGCTATTGTGCCGCTGAGTCTGCTGCCCATCGCCAATCCCCTTGTCTGTTTGAATGTTCCAAGGGTTGGGTGTTGGAACACGTTGTTATATAGAATCAGCCCGAGTAGCTCTTTTAGGTCGACCGGTGTGAGGGAGAAGGTATTGATTTTGAAGCGGTTCGCGTTCCCCAACACACTACACTACCAAAAAGCTTGCAAACGCACACGCATACACACACACACACACCTCTTTGTATATACTGCTGCTATCGCTGATATTATATATATCACTAGATGAATCACAACCTCCTGTTTTAGTCCCACCCACCACCTCAGAATATTCCTGCACCCCTTGCCTATAGCGCACACCTTCTGTCACATCTTCCTTCCACGCATACCAATACTCACTACCTTACTCTTTTTCGCACGCACACACACACACACACACACACACACACACCTCTTGCCAATTCTACCCACCACATACACCAACACCTATTGCTGATCCACACCCTACCTAGACTCTCTCCCACATTTATCAACCCGACACTTCCGTTACGCCACTCCAACTTCTACGCACACCAACACCTTCTACCAACCTACACTTCTACCCGAAGGGTGTACCCCTTCCCACCTGTATCGACCCGCACCTAACCTTCACCATTAACTTAGATACATGTATTTCCCACCTTCACCTTCTCACCTCACCTCATCTCACCACCATCACTCCCTATTAACCCGTGCCACCACCCAAAGCCCTCCATTCTTTATCCACTGACGATGTTGTTCAGAACAACGAAACGTCTGGAGAAGTATCGTAAAAATTTCTATCGTTATTAAATGTTATCAAATATACCACTCTTTGGTCTAGAAAGAATACTTTTTGACACACTGTCTCTCTCTCTCACTCTCACTCTCTTTCTCTCTCTTCTGATCCTCCTCCTGCTCCCCCGTCCATGTCTCTTACGTCTGATGTTATGCTCTGTTTAAATACGTCTCTGTAGGCATCATGTTGTCCTTGGGTGTCGCTCTTCTTGCTCTGTTTCTAGTCCTTGCTGTGGGATCCATTCTACATGTTGTTGCTCTTGCAGTAGGCATTGGCTGAGAAACTGGAGTCGCCGCTGTAGCCACTTCCCATGCTGTTTGACAGCGGTGGAGGCTCTGCTGGAGTCCACCATGCTGATATGATTGTGGTGGTTGAGACCATGCCGGCTCCGCTGTCACTGTTCTCAGTACAGACAGTGTAGCTTGATGCGTTGATCTTGACTCAGTCTATGCAGGAGACATGCAACAATGCATGCGTACAGCTCTCTACTACTCTAGCTTTCTCATGACTTGATTTGCCAGAGGCATAGGACCACATGCGCACCGAATAACGCCATCTGCCGATAATACTAATGCTAGTAAGACTGTATTTTCCGGAGTAAAACAATAAGCAACAGAACTTCACCCCCAAAAAGTCGGTGCGAGTTACCGGTATGTACAACGCTGGTGATAAACAGGATACGGGTAGATGTCTGTATTTCGTGACAAATGAATAATCTGGGCACGGCTCTGGAAAATACGGAACATGTCTACCTGTACTGACTGTCTGTGTGTTGCTCACACTGATAGTATTAGTGATACAGGTGGAATCCTGATAATTCGAATATGGCTTAATTCGAACATACCGCTTAATTGGAAGTTTTTCCAGGACCGATTTCTATCAATACGATTCCCACATAAAAAATTCTGATAATTCGAACCTCGAACTGGACATGTCGGTTAATTAGAAGTCTCACAGATTCCACTTACATAGAAAATGTGTGGGATTTGTGCTGATAATTCGAAGTTAGCAAAGTGTAATTCGAAGTTCACTGTACACTGTACTGGTCAGTTCAGTTTGCATGAGCAGGCTGTGCCGGTCAGTTCAGTGTCCGTAAAATTTGTGTCTAAGGTCCATAGCGCAACTCTGCGTGACCATGAGAGCATTTTGACATACATATTGAGTTGTGGGTTCATGTTTGGATAATTAGCATGTCCGGATAATTAGAAGTTTTTCCTGGCATTTTGAGGTTCGAATTATCAGGATTTCACCTGTACGTCGTTGAAATAGACTAATGTAGCAATGATGTCGATGTCGATGAACGTGCGTGTATCAAAATCACTAATAATCTATCAGGGCGCAAGCAACACCATTATGCATTATGATTGCGTGCATGCGTTGATGTACGAGCTTGATGGCACGCTTTTCATTTTTTTAGTTCCGAGCGTTCACACTTGTTCCTGATCCTTTTGGGTTGCTCTCCTCTGTTTTATTCTTGCTCTTGCGTTTCGTCATGTTGTGTCTGGCAATGCTGCCTGCCACTAGCTCTCTGGCTGTTGTTGTGCCTAAATACTTGTGGGACCGGAAGAAGGTTTCGCTCCCTTCAAGTTTTGCCTTCGAGTGTTTCTGTTGTTGTAGTCACAGATTTACCCGCGATGAGTGAAAAGCTAGTGGACTAGGGGCCAAGTCATTCGCGGCCTCCAAGCCATTTTCTGGTAGCAGCGGAGGGTTCTAGCTCTCTTTGCGAGGCGCTACTACTTCGAGGATATAATGCCGGGTGATGAACAATGTTACATGGAATATGCGGACTCCGGAGAGATATTCGCGCTTGATTGAACTACTTCGAACGGTAATGATTCCGCCCTCTACGTAACGACGGCAATATGC